CAAAACATACTACTGAAAAAGTAACAAAAACAAATATCTTTAATGTGGTTTAGGGGAGTGAAACAGTGAGGAAATAATAATTTTGCTTTAGTTGGGAACATGACTCCAACGTAACATATTGGAAAGCAAATTTGAGATAACAGTGCTCACATTAGAAATCTTCTTTCCGAATATAAAATAATTAAGTTAATGGGATCGGATTAAACCCAAAAAAAAAAAAAAAAAAGGATAAATCTTTGCACATGAAGGTATATAAATAGATTCTATGAAACGGGTGACTAAAAACCAAGACAAGAACTCAAACTTCAGCATAATAACAGACACAACAAATAAACTCAAAACAATAGCAACTTCTATACAAGAAAATCACAAATAACATACAAATACCAATCCTTTAAATGCCAAAATAGAGACAAAATTGATCCCATGAAGATTCACATAAAAATAAAACGGAATCAAACTTTATAAAAAAAAATCGAATTTTTCAACAAGAAGTAAAACAGAGTAATCTGCTAATAATATCAAATTGATCAGTACATTGAAAATATACAATGAGTTAAATAAAACGATGAAAATTTACCTTTTTCGGAGCAGCGTTTTGGGACAGCGAGAAGAGCGATTCCACCACCGTGAGCTTAATCCGGACAAGCAGAGAATCAATACACAAGAAAATTAGCTCTTTATTTTTCGTCCTTTCAATGTATGAAACCTCTATATATTTTATTTTATTTTTAAGATGGTGAAAATCCCTTTTTTTTTTCAATAGTGATCATAAGAGAGCAATATATAGCCGGAAATTCGGAGGAAATTCCCGTGAAAATTCTTTTTTCGAATTTTCATTCTGCCCCTTTTCAATCCAACAGTGGTAAGCTTTGAAAAAATCCCTAAAAATGGGGAAAAGGGACGTGAGGGTGATGGGGGGTCTGCAGGGTATGGGTTTTGCAGAGCAGTTGGACAAGATTTTCGGATTTTGCTGGATTTTCTGGGTTGCGTCTGGAGGAAGAAGAAGAGTATGGGCGGTGGGGTTCTGTTTTTGGATATGTACGCTACTGTATGTATTGAAATTAAAGGGAAAAAGGGGTTGGGTCGGGTCAGCAGGGTGGGCTGACTGCTGGGTTTATTTGTTGTATGGTGTTGATAGTGTATTGTATTGTGGGCCGGATGGGTTTGGGAATGGGCTGGAAAATGATGGGGGTTGGGTTGGAATTAATTGGTTGGGCTGATTTGGAGCATAATTTGGGTTGGAATAAAATGGCCCAATTTTGGTCTTTAAAAAGAATTGGATGCAAGGTGGGAAAAGGGTTAGAATTACAATAAAATGTCTAGGTTTTGAATTGAAGATTTGGCCAAAAGGATTGCAATTATAACCGATTAGGATTACGAAATTAACCAAATCAGATTTACTTGGAGAATGTGGCCGAAAAATATAAATAAATAAATAAATAAATAAATAAGATGATTTTAATATTAATTAATTAACGAGCTTCTTATTCTTAACGAAATAAAATAATTAACTTGATAATAATATAATTAATTTAAACATGAACTAATTAATTCAAAATCGTAATTATGATTTAAATTAAACTAAGTTAGTAAAACACTTAGCTAAAAAGAAATAAAAAATCTTTTGATATGATTTTCAAATATTTATAAAATATACTAATTAGACACATAATTATATAATAATTAACTTAATTATAAACTAGCTAACTCGAAATATAAGTTATTAATTAATTTAAACCAAATAGCCAAATATTTAAAAAAAAAATCGTTTTGAGGCAATTTTCGAACATTCATAAAATATACTAATTAGACACATAACTATATAAAATATCATATTTATTATTTTGAAATTTATAAAAATGACAAAACTACTTAAAATGACTTGAAAATTATTTTGAATCTTATAAAGCCAATTATTTCAAATCGTTTAGAATTTAGGAAACTCGATGATTAATTTATATTGGGAAGGGTCAAAATTGGGTGTCAACAGGGAGGTTCTCCAATACCTGTTAACTCACTCAGAATTGCTAAGACCTGGTGAACTACTTCAAAAGACATCGGAGGAAGACTTGTACCCCAACATGTGTTATCATCTCTAGCCCAACATCCTCCTTAATTTCTACCTCAACCTCTTCTTCAACATGATTCTGGGGTGGGTGAGGGTCACCGACCTTGACCCATCCCATGCCTTAGCTATAACTTTGGCGGGTGTCGCCCTCTTTCTGCCCTTGCCCCTTACTTTGCCTCTTCCTCTCCCTCTCCCTTACACTGTTGGTTCCACCGCTGGAACTGGTACTCTAACTCCATTACGTCTATTATCAACCTTCTCTAGAAAGAAAAGTGAATATAGTTAGATACCAATTTGGATTACTAGATACTAATTGGAATCAAGTTATAACACGAAGGAAAACAGTGAGAAGACAGTTTCTTAAAGACCTGTAGGCTCTTGAAAAAAGTATAAATGTCTCTGTATCATTCTGCAAGACTCTACTAGAGTAATTTTGGTATGACGAGATAAACAAATCTAGGACTCTGATACCAACTTTGTCACAACCCAACCCATCGTGATATGTACCTACACGAAACTCCCGGTGGGAGAACCAATTATATACCAACACAACAACAATTGATCAACTTAAGAACAACATTTTAAATAAGTAAACTAAGTCTTTTTATAATAACCATCATCAAACAATGGCGGGAAAACCCCATTGAACCTGAAAGTCATGTACCAAAACTCTAGATCATCTAGATAAAGGGGTACGACCCCCAAAAAACAAGAAAACAAATCTAAAGAGTCTAAGTCCAAAAAGATGGACTAAGAAATAAAGAGGAATCCTAAGAAGCCTGTAAGAAGCAACTTACCCTTGGATTCAGTTAAAGCTGGAGTCATAGTTGAGGTCAAGAAGCAGCCACCTGAATATGTCTTGTACTCGATAAGGATAGAACAAGTGCAATTTCAATATACAAATATATGAATGTAAATACATAAGTAAAACATAGTAAATACAAGACATCACATATATCAGCTAAGTCAGCAATACAACAAGACTCTCAGTCATTAATCCTGACTTAACATTTACATGCAACATATCCCACATGATCACAAACAAGCCCAGTTCACTCAAGGAACCAACATACAAGAGAATAGTCAAACATGTATCAGGTGTGGTACCAGAGCCACCCAATAGTATCTCATACTAGGCATGGTACTCGAACCAACCACAAGATATCTCGTACAAGAAGTGGTGCCCGAGCCAATCGATAATATGTACTAGTCATAGAACGTGAGCCAACCAAGAGATATCCTATACTAGACATGGTACCTGAGCCAACTGATAGTCACACAAACACAATCAAAAGAACAATGAAATACAAAAACATTGGCTAACACAAGTAAACAAAACACCTTTATTGAATGAGATTGTAACAATTTATCATTTCACATTCAACCTTTATGTTTTCCCCAATATGCATTGTACATGTTGCACTATAGAGATATATAACATGCATACGTAAGATAACTTGAAAAAAAATCATCATCTACTTTGAATCAAGCCTTGGAAGCTCTATTGAACCTGCACCTTCTCCTTGTTATGAATCTTGGCTTATTTTAGGTTTTCAAATAAAAATATAACACAAAATTAACCCATCATGGTCTAATTATACTCAGATTATAACTTAATCCTAACCTCAGGCCCATTTTCATGAATATTCAACCCATACCAGGTTTTCCACCATTAACTCAAGTCAAACCTTTCCCTAAAAGTCTCCCACCAAGGATTCTAAGCCCTCTCGCTATAGCGACGTGACACCCGCTATAGCAACTTGCACGGGCCAGTGCAACAAACCCCGACTTCTGGAAGGGATGCATTTATTAGATAAAAGGTCGACGCGGGCTCTGCCCGTTGCTGCGATGATTCATGATAACTCGACGAGAAATCCTCCCAAAAGTCCCCATTTCACAAAACACCTTCAAACCTTGATGTTCTAAACTAATCCCTTCACACCATGTTTGATATCAAGAGTTTTACTTACTTGTATTTACTTTCGAAAAACCTTATGGACTCCTTACCGTCTTAGATAAAATAAAAACCAATCCAAGCTTAGATACTTTACCCAATCCTTTCCTGGATTTCCCTAGACCTCACCTTGCGCAAATTTCATTCGAAAATGGCCTAGCCTAGAATTTTCTACTCACTACTCCAAAATTTGTTTTTACCTAAATTCTTTAACCATTGATTTACTCATAACGACCGGAAGGGTCATTACTCGTTACACAATTATATAATAAAAAAATGTATTTAAAACTGAAATCAAGTGAATGTTTTGTGTAATTTTTACAACCTTTTTATGTTGTCCCCTAATTTAATTTTGATTTTATTAGTTTTTAATATTAAAAAATAGAAAATCTACAAAGCTTATGCCTCACCTCTTATAGGTAATATGATATTTCTCACCCATCTTCCACCCCATCACGCATACTCTACCTTTTAAGACAGTATTTGATATCACTTTTTCTTATTCCCCATATTACATTGCACCAAAATCTTTATATATTGTCATGGAAAATATGATTAATTTATCTACTATTTGTTGAGAGTTATAATTTGTGAGTGAATGCTGAAATCTTTATATATTTCACAATCAAGATTTTTTTGTGCTTAGTGCCGTTAGTGTTGAAAATTAAATAATTTAAAAGAAAATATATTTCAACATGAAACCCAATTATTCTACAAATTAGATTTCCTTTTTTCTTCCTGTTTAAAAAAGAAATTTCCAACACACTGAAAGCAAATAAATTGATAAAAGTTGATCAATTTACACATAGAATAAAAAATCTCATATATCTACTTGATTAAAACATCAAATTCAGCTTCATTAATGACAAAATATTAACACATCCATATGATATCTACAAGATTCAAAGCATGCACAAGATACTTATTTAGTAATATTTTTTTATATTATTGCAATTTTATCAAAGAAACTAATCATTATTCAGTCTTCCATGCATAAAGAAAATGACAAAATTCTGTAGATGGAGATTGCAAATCGCAACTTTCATCATTGATATAGCTTCCAGAGTCTGAATATCTCTCTTCCAATTTACCTTGCTTGAAAATGAAAGATCCTGGACCAAAGTTAGGACCACTATACAACCAATCATGCACATCCCAAAAGATCTCAACAAGTACATTATCCAAAAAAACCTTTTCATTTCCCCTAAATCTCCAATGCAAATTCGCGATCCGAATTGCTACAGTTCCATTCACACTGATCTGCATAGCAGGATCAGATGGACCTGAAAGGACAGATTCAATAGTAATATCATGTTGTTTTTTTCCTTGGCCCAACATTGTTCTTGTGCAAAAGCATTTTTTCGCGTATATAGTTTCCTTCTTGTGTAATAATGAAGCATCTAGCATGGCTGGTCTTGATTTTGTTCTCTTGAATGCTTCTTTATTTTGATCACCTAATAATAATACCATCTCCCCTTCTGAGACCAATGCCACATAATAATCTGATACAGGCTCTGGTCTGGTGGAGAATTTGGCTGATCTCAAATCCCAGTAAATGTCCATGCGCTTCTCACCCACTCTGAATGATTTCAAACCTTTCTTACCCCAAAATTGCCAAGATTTTAGGTCAATTTTACATGTGAAATGTGTTTCTTCAGAAAGGTGTTCCACTATGATATAAAGGGTATGGCTAGTCATGTTTTTTGACCATGTTGTAGTTATGGCATGGAAAAAATGTGCAATTTTGGCTACATAAATACAAGTTATAAAATCCTCTCCAGATTTATTGATAATAGTTTCCTCAGTTTGCTTCTGATCTTCTGATTGTTTCTGATTCATGGAAGCCTCAAATTCTAATGGTAATTTGAACATTGTCAAAAATAGGTGCACAAAATCAACATCTCTGACCTATTCAAATATCAACATTTCAATATTCATTCTAATGAAACAAAGCATGATATTTTTCATTAATGCTTAATTATTCAAAATAAAGATCCCTAAAACATGGTTGGATATCAATTCCAACATTTGCTCATAATTATATGATGAAATTGTCCTTTTAGAAGACAATGGATTAAAAGAAAGACCTAGAAAAAATGATGTGAATTTGCTACCTTGGAAATTAATTTGTTGTTATTGTATAGAAAAGATGATTGTAGAAATCAAAACACAAAATTATAATTTCACCTTAACAATCTGCAATCAACTTTTATCGAAATATTGAAATATTAAGGTTTGTTGTATTGTTGCCAAGATTATATCATGGCAAGGATGATTGACTATGTGAAAATTTATGGGTTTGAGAAAAAGGGTGACAAATGGTCTTTTTTTTTTCTTAAGAATTTATTTTGTTTTAATATTCTCTTAAAGACACGTGAAACAAGTTTATTTTAATTTTTATTTTTTGAAACTTAAACGGAAAATTTAAAGTTTTTATCTTCTTATTTGTCAACCTTTTAAATTTTGTCTTGAGTTGGCAATTTAGTCCTTTATCAACTTTAGAAGTATGGTAACTCTTTAAACTTTTTTAAAGATATTTTATTTATATGAGAAAAATATGTGAAATTTTTTAATTTTTTATATTGCGCCAAGTTAAATCACATGATATTTGGGTAAAAATCAGTTTTCCCACTAATTTTGTTTTAAAAATTAAATACTCCCTGACATTTTGAACGTTAGTCATTTTTCCTTGTGGTTTACGATATACCATTTACCTTCCTTATTTTGTTTTTCTTGGAATACTTCTTTTAAGCTATTTAATATTAATATAACAAATTATGATTGGACTAATCTATCCTTTGAAAACACTTTTTATTTAGTTAAATTGTGCTCATTTTTCTTAACTAAAATATGGGGAATTGGAAACATTCTCTTTTAATATTCGTCATACACTATGTTTTACTCATATCCATGGTCATTCGGAATTTCTCTTTAGACAATTTTTTTTTATAGTAATTGGAGTCTACTATAGTGATCAAGTTTTATATAATAAAATTTAAAAGTTATCATATAAAATTTTAATATTTTTATGTTTCTGTGAAGTATGACCAACTTAAGGTAGCACCTCTAAGAATTGTTGGTTATTATCCAAAAGAGAAACAATATTATCCATGTCCATACCTCTATTTTTGTCACTATCCAAAATGTAGTAACTAGCACTCACACAAATCTCACATGGGTTGACCAAAACTTAGCATCTAACTCATGTAATTTCTGAGTATCTAAGCAGAATATAGAGGTATAACCACATAATCAAAGTCTCAAGGATAAATAAATAAATTAGAGGAAGTCTAAAACAATACATTTCTGTAATTCGAAAGTTATCGTACTAAAACTCTTGTTAAGGGTGTCTAAGAGTAGCGATAAAATATATAAATAAAGTGTCTTAATGTCTGAAGAAAAATTAAAACAAGGAGGATTTGCGGCAGTTTGGATGGAAATAGCTCATCCTCAGATCTTAATAAGCACAACTAATACGAGGTCGTGTGGATGTCTCTGGATCACTATCTGCACTCAAAAAAAAGTGCAAGAGTGTAACATCAATACACACTATGTATTGATAGACATCATAGGCCAACTAAGATTAGTAATAAGTATATAATTATAGTTATGTAGCAAGTAGAAAGGTTCATTCCACATAGTCAAACAATAAAGTCACAAGTCATTGGAGTCCTCATTAATCACTAACACATCTCTATGTATATGGATATAACTACACATATCCTTCTAGCATATCACAATCATCACTCATTGAGTAATTCACAAGTACACAACAATCAAACTAACACTATGAGAATATAAGTGTATATATTTATATGAGTACAAGTATATATTCTTCTCTAACATATCTTCTCTATTAACACTAAACCTTAACTAGCATGTCAAATCATTAAACACTGAGCAAACAATCACCAATCAATACAAATCATAAGCACACTTATCAAAGTACAAATACGTCAATAGAATCATGGAATCATATTCATCATGGCCTTGCAGTTGTATAATCTTTGTATCTTACCGGTCATCTCTAACATTCACCCAATAATCATAAGTTTCACCCTCATCTGCACACACATGCTAAAGGGTCTTAATATTATCCATCTAGTCATGACTTGCAGGAAATCCTAGGTGTCCATGTACCGTACTAGTGTTGTACCCGATCCAACCACACATATGACCACTCGTCTGTAAGCTTGTATCAGTAAGCTCGTATCAAGATTAAGCTACTCATCATTATAATAGAAAATGTATTTATACCATATATGCATATCTCAATATACTAAAATATCATACCCTTCGATTTTAGGGAAAAAATGAATTATGTATTGAAGCAAAGCACTTACATCATGAAAGAAAGAGCCTTGAAAAAGTTGACATTGGGTTCTCTAGTCGAATATTCCAAGTTCTATTTAAGATTGGGAGAAAAAACTAACTTAAAAAACATTTTATTATTTCGCCACCTTCGTTATAGCAAAAACCTTTGCTATGTCAGAGGTCGCTATAACAAAGAATTCCTTTTCTATGGCAAACCTCCGTGAACTGGAACCCTTCACCATGTTAAACTATTTGTTCGCTAAGGTAAACCTCAAAAATATAGAAACCCTCACTATAGCAAACCCCAACGTTTCTATAGCAAAGAATCTTTTGCTATAGCGAAGACTTTATCACTATAGTGAAGACTTCTTCACTATAGCGAAGTCCTTGTAAGATTTTAGAATTCGATTCCCATTACCAGATTTCACCAACTCTTAACCCATGGTGACCTATATGAGGGTACTATAGTTCTAAACACCTAAAATAATGGAACAAATTATTATATCAAATACCAATTAAATACACATTTATCCCCAAACATCAATGACAGAATGAAAGGAAAGAAATGAATACTCCGACTCCACGAGAATCATGGGATATCTACTATGCATTTCCGATTTAGGCTCCCAATTGGACTCCTCTACAAAATGGTTCTTCCAGTAGACCCTTACATATGGAATCACTATGTACCTCAACTTATGAAACTTCTTATCTAGAGTAGCCACAAGCTCCTCCTTATAGGAAAAACTCTAATCAAATGACACAGAGTCCCACTGAATGATATAATTTCCATTACCATGAACTTCTTCAGTATGAACACATGAAGTACTGGATGAATACTTGACAAAGCTGGAGGCAAAGCTAATTTATAGGCTACCTCCCCCATACGTCAAAGGATCTCGAAAGGGATGATAAATTATGGACTCAACTTACCTCACTTCCCATACCTCATTACATCCTTTATAAGTGAAACTTTAAGCAAAACTTTCTCTCCTACAATGAACTCCATATCTCTAATCGTTGGTTGGTATATTCTTTCTGTCTTCTTTAAGCTGCCAAAAGCTTATTCTGAATTAACTTATCCTTCTCAAAATATTCTCTTTGACGATCAGTACACCACCGTCTTACCTCAAATGCCTCAAACAAGACATTAGAAGATATTTATCTCCTCACATACAATGCCACAAATAGAGCCATGTCAATGCTAGAGCAGTAGTTGTTATTATAAAAAAACTCAACCAATGGTAAGAGCTGATCCCCATGACCACCAAGTCGATCACACATGCGTGGACCATGTCCTCCAATACCTAATAGTCCAGTTAGATTAGTTTGAGGGTGAAAGGTTGTACTCAAGTCATTTCTTGTGCTCAACTCAGCCTGTAAGGTCTTATAAAATTAGAAATAAACTATGTACCTCTATTAGAAATAATAAAAATTGGGACTCTATACAACTAACCAATCTTTCACAAATAGATCTTGTCCAACTTCTTTGCATTATAAGTCACATGAACTAAGTATAAAGTATGCAGACTTAGTCAACTTGTTGACAATCACTCTCACCCAAGGTCTTAAGAAAACCAACCACAAAGTCCATAACAAGTTTTACCTCTTCTATTCAAGAATAGATATCCTATAAGGCATACCTCCGGGCCTCTGGTGCTCGTATTTAAACTACTAGCAATTTCAACACTAAGCAATTAACTTTATGATCTCTTGCTTCATCTGACCCCACTAATAATATTACCTCAAGTCACGATATATCTAGGTGGCTCCAAGATGTATAGATTATATAGAACTGTAGCCTCAATAAGAAGATTCTTGATCAAATCATCAATATGGGCACACAAGAACATACCCTTTGATCCTCAAAACACCTTCATCATCTATCACTGCCTCTTTAGCTTCCCTTTGTAAAATCCCATCACAAATCTTGCATAACTTAACATTCTCAAACTGTCCAGATTTTGTCCTAAGTTCATTCAGCCAGGTCAACAACAAGTTCCCCAAGCCATAACTCACACTAGTAGGGAATATAATGGTAGTGAAAGAGGTCATCTACATGGTGGGCATCAGCCAGGTAGATGTGGGAGCCAACTCAATGTGGAGGTTATTATGCAGGTAGAAGAGGTACTCAACCTAGTAGATTTTCTATGAAAACAGGTGAGAAGACACACTTTTATGCTTTCCAAAGTAGGTTTGAGACGGAGACGTCTGATAAAGTCATTACATGTACTATTCTCATGTTTGACCGGATGGACATTATTTTATTCGATAATTTTTCTACTTTCTTATATGCCTACTTGATTTTTATGGGGATAGACATGGTCTATGACTTCCTTAATACCCATGTTCATGTATCTACTCCCCTTGGTGACTATGTTTTGTAGATAAAATGTACGGTTTTTGCTTTATGATATTTATGGGGTATTTTACATGGGAATATTTAATAAAATTTGATATGGTGGATCTTGACATAATCCTAGGGATGAGTTGGTTATTAATGAGTCCTAGATTTGGACTCATTTAGGGCTTTATTTGTATAGGTTAAGTGTTCTCAA